CAAAGCATGAACATTATGGCAATGCGATCTACATGCAAAAAGTTAACACAAGATAGAAGAAGACATGAATGGGTACTAGTGAATAAGGAGAATAGGAACTCGATAATAGGTAAAGTAATTAAAAAAAGAAAGAAAGATGTATTTGTAAGTCACTGAAGCACATTTAGAACTGAAGTTAAAATTATTCAGTGCTAGTTAAATGTGAAAAGTACAATTTGGATAATGGAAAGGATGCAAGTAACTGTCAGCATTGGGTCAAGAAAAAAGAAATAGCAGGCGTGTTGCCAGGAATCAGACAAGAGAACAACCAGAAGATTACAGTTCTGTTAGAAGAACTAAGTGAATATAAAGAGAGTCACACAAAGAATAGAAGTAAGAGTAGAGAAAAAGTCATAGATAAGGAAATAAAAGTACATGCACATGAGACTAGTCTGTTAAAGATGCAAGGTTTTGATAATAATCTAGAAACATTGTTATTAAAGCAATTGGAGGAAAACATGAAAGTAGAGTATACAAATTACAGTTTTTATACAGACAGTTCACTAGTAAAAGAGGAAAATGAATGCAGAATAGGTGCAAGTTGGGTTCAGGTTAGCAAAGATGAGAGTAGACTATTAATGGAAGAGAAAATTAAAATAGCAAAATAGCTATCATTAACAAAGGCAGAGTTAGTAGCAGTATGGATGGCAGTATTAATTGTAGCATGTAATAGTAAGGTAGTTATTAAATTAGATAGTGCAGCAGCAATTGCAAGCCTGGAAAGTGAGAAACCACTATATAATATTAGAGTATGAAATAAAAGTAAGAACTTTAGATTAGTTACAAAGATTAAAGACATGTGCAAGTCAAAGAACATTAAGCTATCATTAGTTAAAATCAAAGCACATAGTGGAATATTATAGAATGAAAGAGCAGATAAGCTTGCAAAAGAAGGTGCATGCCAGATTGAAATTATAGATTTGAAGCTTGAGAAAAATTTGAGATTTCCATATACATTATTTTGAAAAGAAACAGTAGTAGAGGTACTAACAAGAAAATTTGTTATGATATTAACAAACATAATGAATGATGCTGAATGGCATTACTCAAATATGACAAAAGAGCTAGAACCAGATGCAAAAGCATAATGTGATTGGAGACAGTTGTGGAAAAAAAATAAAAATTTAACAGGAAACAAGTGTAAATCATTAGAGGAGAGCAAGAGAATCTCATTTAGAATTAAGTGCATTACAGATAGTTTGCCAATGCTTAAGGTGTTAAAGAAGAGAGCACCAAACTTGTATAGTTCAGACTTATGTAAAAAGCATAAAACAGAGGAAAAGTTATCAAGACATTTGTTCATTTGCAAGGAATATGAGGGCTACTAGAATAATATCGAAGAGTTAGCATATTGGTTAGTATGTAAAAAGTTTGACAAGTTAAACAAGTGCAAGCTTACAAGACATGACTTAAAAAAAATATTAGTTGGTAAAACAGAAGTAGATAGAATTAAACATAGGAAGCATGCATATATGGGTTAGCAGTCGAGAGTATGTTTAAGGAGTTGTATGCTAAACAGGTTTCACATAAAGCTGTGAAGCAGAGTATCAGATTATATGTTAAGATTGTAAAAAAGATGTTTAGAGAAGAAATTTGGTGGTGAAGATGTAGAACAGTAGTTGAGTGGAAAGAAGAAAATAAAATAACAACGAAATTAAAATGAAGAAGAGACAAGACAGTTGAAAATAGTGAATGTAGTATAAAGAAAGTGAAAAGTAAAGAAACATTAGTAAATAAAGTCAGAGAAGAGAAATACAAAGAAAGGAAGATGGAATAGAGGCAGTTGTTTATGAAAGGTGTAGATGAAATAATACAGAATAGAAATAGTTCATTCTGGTTCAGTTCTTGACAGAGCTGACAAAGTTTCCTAATCTAGGAATAGGTTGATATGACAAGTCACATTTAAATGCAGTCTCTGTACTTGGATAATGTCAGGCTTACAATTGCAAAAGTGGATTACTAGAAATAAATAATGTTTCAATTAGTAAAATTTTGTATTAAAGTTCTGACAAGGCTGTCAAAAAAAAAAAAAAGTAATATTATTATATTTTATTTATCTCTATTATTATAATAAGTATTATTAGAATTATTCAATATATATATATAACAATTTAAAAAATAATCTAAATTTTAGAGTTTGAACTTAACAATGAAGGCTTAAAAGAAGCAATTTTTGTTACTACTTCTCTTTGACAAAGTCTTAACTATACTAAGCAGAAAAATTAAGAATTAGTTATACAATGTCAATGCTATGATGCAAGACTATTTTCATATAACTTAACTTTATATATTTGAAATAGATATACTAATTTTATAGTAGAGATTAATAAAAACTAAACTCTGGCATCTAATTAAATTGACATGCCAACTTTTTTTTTTATTTTATAATCACAAATAAGCTATAAAAGAAATTTTTTCATTTTAAAATAGATGATTAGTGACAAATAATGAGTTTAGTATTGATAATTTAGAAAGTATGACAAAAGTTAGATCATACTATATAACTAATATTAAATTTAAAATAAATAACTATAAAAAAAACTTATCAAGATAAAATTATAAGAAGCTGTTACTATCTTAGCAGTTGTTAAGATAATGACTTCAGAAGAGGAATTGTCTAATCTGAAAGAAGTCTTTAACAACATTAAACATGTATAAGATTTATTGCTTATTAATGATATTGTTAATTCATCACAATATAATATTATAAATGAAATAATTAGTATCAGATATGATAAAATATTCATTCAAACAATTAGTAAATAGATTTTTAACTAAGAATTAGCTTTGATTAAAAATTATTTAAATAATTTGTAATTAAATATTGTATTAATTTATTTACATATAATAAAAAATCAAATAAATTAGTATTGATAATAATTTGTATGAACATACAGTACATTTATATATATATACAATTTTTTTTTAAAAAAAACTTCTATTTTAAACTTGTATACATTTTGAATATATTTTATATTTCTAATATAATACATATTACTACATATAATACATAATATTACATATAGTACATAATACTACTATTAGAAAGAAATCCAGTTAAATCCATCGCATAGCAATTATTAAAAACATGACTGAAATTGCAATCAAAATCATATCCTGATTTTTCCCCCATTGCATGCAAAAGAAACCACAAGATTTAGAACAAATCATCTATAATTGTAAGCTTGAGTCTACATGTAACAATTATAGCTAATCTAAAAAGGAAAAAAGACTTAGTAGAATCACCATGATGCATAATAAGAAAAAGATGTGATAACTTACTTTTATAGGCTTACAACAAAACCTTCAACCCACAAAGACATTTGGGTTATGTGGCTATAGCTCTATCAGCAGGACTTATGAAATATAGAAGTTAATGAAAAACAGAATTATGAATTAAAGAGTGAAATGGTATGATTAACAGAAAAAAAAAACATTAAGATAAAAAAAGAAAGAATGTTCCCAAAATATTTCCTTAATAATTCATTATAAATAATCCTCCATTTTGACATTAAGTAAAATATGACCCCCTGACCCCCATACTCCTGTAACTTAAAGGAAATTATTAATAAATTAATTACAAATAAAAATAGTTATAAATTATAACAAGAGTAAAATACAAATAAATGTTCTTTAAAAAAGTCTCTATCCTTACCTAGTGACTTGCTTGAAAGCCACCTTAGCCATTGCCAAATTGTATTGCCTTATCTTGCTTTTGAGTAACATTATGTGACATTGACATTTTTGAAGTGACAATTCGTCATATTTGCAAAAACTTGAAGTCACCCTATTGTCTCCGTAACACTACATACAGTACATAATACTACATATGGCGCAGCAATAATACGGCAGGCAGTATTACATGCCGTGAGGTATTCTGGGTTGTAATTTTTGAAATGCGCTAGCATCACTAGACTTGCCGCAATAATAGTATTCCTGATAAGGTTCTAAAAATGAGCCCCTAAATCTAACTTTTTTCATATACTTCGCTGTAGTATTAGAATATTTTTGTAGATTTCACCGAAACAATATCGTCGACACCTTATTTTTCTGACAAATCATTTTCCAACAGTCCAATTCCAAAATGCTCACTTCCTCAACAGTCTATTTCGCTGACAGTCTTATTTTGCTGACCTTTATTCCATGACCTACTTATTCTAACCAGCCTATCTTTTTATTACAAAGTTGTTTTATGTAAAATTATGTAGCATTTTTATTTAATATTAAAGCTAGGATTAGATTTTAAAGTTTAAATTAGGGATTTGGGAAAGCTTTTTCAAGCATGTGAAGATTAATTTATATAGATATAAAATAAAATTTACATATTTATACAAATAATAAATAGTTTCCAGCAGTTACTATGATTTATCTGCCTAATAATTTTATTATTGGGCAGAAAATCATAATAAGCCGCCAGATAAACCATTATCAGGCATGCTGATACTTACAGGAGAGACCGTTGATGTTACATAACTGATACTTCACCCAGTATGCAACACATAAAAAAAATTATTTTACCATTTTATTAATAAAAATTAGTTCGAGATTGTAATCATAACATGTACTAACAGAATAACATGGAATTGTAAAATTATTTTTTTATGTGTTGCACACTGGGTGAATGGTCAGTCGTGTAACATCAATGGTCTTTTCTGTCTTGCAACTTAATTATTTGGTCAAGAATTTTAAGGTCAGCCTAAAAAGTCGAATTCCTTCAGAATTCAATTTCTTAGTTTGACTTTAAATCTCTAACCAGTTATCAGGCAGGCACTGCTGACTTATACAGCAACCTCCCAAAACTTTCCGCATTCTGCTATACTCTGATTTTTGTTATCATGTTATGAATTATCGTTCATTATTGATTATTCTATGATCTTACTTATTATCATTATAAAAATGCAGTTAATATTTGAAATATTCAAATTATAATAAAAAAGTTTTTTCTTTTTTTCTTATTAACAATGAAACGTTGTAGTAGTTGCAAAAATTTTTTACCTGAAACCGCATTTAAAAAAATTAAAGCAACATTATCAAAAACTTGTAATCAATGTTTGGATTATCAAAACTATAAAAATTGTGAAATTCGAAAATCAAAAAAAAATTCTCAAGATAATGTTTATATATTTAATAATGATGATATTGAATTGGCCGAGATTCATATTAATCAATTATCACAATTTGTTGAAGAATTTGTTGCCAATGAGAAAAATAAGGAGTTTGAGCTAAATATATTATTCGATATTAATGTAGAGATGAATTCAATTACTCAAGTTGCTAAAAAATTACGTGAAATAATTGAAGATAGTGATGGTTATAAATGGAAGTAAGAATTAAGTTTGTTAATTATATAATTATTATAAAATCAATTAAAAAAATATATATTAATTTAAAATTTGAAAATGTTTAGCTTTTGGAAAGCTAATTATTCAACTTGCCTTCCTGACCAAAAAGGAATAATATATTATCATTGCAGTCAATCTGCAGTTTTAAATAAATTTAAAAATTCTAATAGAAAACAAATTACAAGATTTGAATGTAATGGACAGCTTATTATTCGCATTAATATGATAAATTCTAAAGCTTATATTAAAGTCAAGCATTTATTATATCATGAGTGTCCTGCTATTTTTACTGGTGTTTCAAAGGAAATAATTGCTGAAATAAATCAAAATTATCATCTTGATTCTTTACAACTTCATTCTTATTTTTTTACACATTTTGATTTACAAGATATTACACCTAAACAAATTTATTATTGGTGGAGTGTTTTAATTCAATCAAAGTATCAAAAACATAAAGATCCTATTTGTTCAGCTATTATTTTACTTCAAGAACAATTTCAAGATTGTGAATTATTAATGTCAATTAATAATGATACTTTAACAGCAATTGCTTTTTCAACACCAAATCTTTAAAATTTAAAAAATATTAAAGAAATTCATATTGATGCAACATATAAAACAACTAAAGATCATTTTGAGCTTTACAGAATTATTGGAGAATATCAAGAAACTGGATTTGCTTTGGGCTATTTAATTTTAGATATAATTCGAATTAATGGAGAGTTGAAATTATCTAAATCAGAAATTTTAACTCAATTTTTATTAAAATTTCAAATTCTTGGTCTTTCACCTGATTTTATATTTATCGACAAAGATTTTACTCTAATTAATGCAATAAAAAATGTATGGCCAAATAAAGGCATTCAATTATATCTCTGGCATTTGAAAAAAGTTATACTTATAAAAATAAAATCAAATAAACAACAAGTATGATATAGTTTATTTACAATTGCCGATTTTCAACAATTTCCATTTATTGATCCAAATTTTGTTTCTCAAGTAAATCAAACTGAAATTATTTGTTCTGTACAGCATCAAAAAAAGATTTTAGATTTAATTGAAATTCATTTTAATTTATATCCGTTAATTCCAATAAATCAAAATAGCACTTTATTAACAAAAGATAAAATATGGAAAAAGGCTGTTTATAAAATATATCAATTATGTTTTAAATTCAATAATCCAAGACTTTGGAATTATCTTTATTTTTTGTGGTATACTAAAAATCGTTGGAATTTATGGGCTAGAAGCAATCATTTATTAATTCCTTTTAGCAAAACTAATATATTAATTGAATCTCACTGGAAGGTAATTAAATATAATTACTTATATAGATTTAATCGTCCAAGACTTGATTATGTAATCTTTATTTTTTACAAAAAATTAATTCCAACACAAAATATTCATCTTCATCAATTAACTATAGGAAGAATAAATCCTTACTGGTAGGAAGATCTAAAAAAAGATTGAATAAAATGTATTAATGCTAAGCAAAGTAATTCTAATGAGAGATATTATACTAATACAAACCAATGGATTTGTAGTTGTTTAGCATTTCTTCAAAGCTGATTTTTGATTTGTAAGCACCTTATACAGGCAATTGATAGTAGTACATATCGATTAATTTATAATACCTTTTATTGCAATCGACAATATCCATTTTGGAGTATTGATGGATTAGCAAATAATAGTGATATTAATAATAATAATAATAATATTAGCAAAGTTCAAATATCAGAAGAATCAAATATTTTAAACATAGTTGAAAATGAAGTTCAAATATCAGAAGAATCAAATATTTTAAACATACTTGAAAGTGATAATGAAAATAATTTAGTAATAGAAGAAATCGAAAGAAAAATTGAAAAACATGAGCAATTTATTCAATATGTTCAAGAAGAATATGAAGCAGGTTAATTTTTTTTTATAAATAATATTTTTTATTATTATAACAATAATAATTACTATTTTTTATTATAATAATTTAGGAAATATTCAACATGTAAAAGCATTATTAAATGGATCTAAAAGAATTTATACAATGATAGATGATATTAAAAAGGCACAAAGCAAATGAGTTAGAGAACGTACATGGAAAGACTCAAAGCCTCATACAATGTTTTTGCGATAAATAGCATTTATATAAATTATTTATAGCAATAATTTTAATAATTATTATTGCATATTTTTTAGCATTGCAAGCATATTAAAATTTAAATATCTCAGAATATAAACTTTATATTTTTTTTGATAAATTAGCAAACTAGTTCAAACGAACATTAGATACTTGTATTTTCAATACTGTTTTTATAATAATAAAAACATTATATATGTATTAAAGTGAAAGACTATAAAACTTTTAGTATTTTTATTGAAAAATTATTTAAACAAACCTAAGATTAATTAATTATACTCGCATTTCACTTATGTTTATAAAAGATGCTTTTAAAATAATAAAGCTAACAATAGTATTTTATAATTAATTTTTTTACCAACAACGAATAATATTAATATATATATATATATTTCAATAAAAGTGCATATATACAAGGTATGAAAAAAAGAACACTTTTCGGATATTAAAAAAAAAATCATATGCAAATAATCGGAGTATAGCGGAATGCGGAAAGTTTTTGGGGGTCGCTGTACGAGTTGGCACTGCCTGATAACTATTTATTATTGAGAATACCGTGATTTTGGATGACAAATAAAGGAAGTATCCGGCTTTGAATTTAATGTGCTAACCTGTGCCCCGAAGAGGCTCAGGTTGTCAAGTGCATTAAATTCAAAGCCAGGTTATTGGATGCTAAACATCCAATAACGGATTTATTTTTATCGTTATTTTTATTTTTCTGTTATAACGTGAGTTTGTGGGTATAAAAATTCTTATAAGTTTATATTGGGTTTGTAGACCTATATAAATTTTATATAGTTTTATATAACTTTATAGAGCTACATAAAGTTTATAAAAAACAACTTGCTGATAGTGTAAGTGTATATCGGGAATTGGATTGTCGGAAAAATATGGTGTCACCAAATGGCTGTCGGTGAAATAGGTTTATACCATTTTAGGGGCCCTTATTTAGAACCCTATCAAGAACGGTACATAGGTCGATATTTATCATGGAAATGTTAAAGCCAGGTACCAGTTAGCGTTACTTTTTTGATGCAATTAGAGTGAGAGGTTATATAGATATCAAGAATACAATTTATGCAGTACAGTATGTAGATCATTATATGAATTAACGGACCCCCTTTATCGACGATCCATCAAGAACGGGCTTGCCACATACGCCATAAAACAAATAAACAAATAGCATGAAAAATAAGTATTATGAACCATAAATATTATGCCACATACGTACAAATAAAATAAAATTACGTATAAACTTGATATAACCTTTTCAAAGAAACAGTGATAATATTAAAAACTTCAAATTCGATAATTCAATCAAGAATTTATTAAATGTATAAAAAATTTTTATTTCGTTTAATTTTAAAAAGGTATGAGAATTATTGTCACAGGTCATAATAAAATGAAGTTTGACGTTTCATAAACAAACTTATGCTTTTTTATTATAAATTCTGCTCTAAAACTGTCACCTAACGCTAACAAAATGCACTTCTAATCTTTGTTTTTGTGGCTTTTCTATTTTAAATTATACGAATTTCATTTCACATAATATGATTTCATTTTAATCTCTATAATTATTGAAATAAGTGATGGCTTTTCATGAAATATAAAATTTGCAATGCAATATTTCTATTTTGATTTAAAATTGTTCATTATTAATAGTTTAATGTGTTCTATACTACTATAATTAATCTCGGGCATATTCCCAAAACAGTTCTTACAATGAAAAATCGTTGATTTTAAGCCACACAATATGTTTTTAATACGGCACATTATGTCATATAGAAAACATTTAATAAGCAAAGATACAGACATAAAACATTAACATACGACATAGCCGTAAGTAAGCAGCTGTCTAATTTTTATATGCCGCAAGAGGTTAGTTGTCCTTGAGGAATGTCTGTATCTCTAGTAGTAAGGCTGTTGTTTGTTTTTTTTCTAGCTTGAGCCTTCCAACCAACTTAAACCAATCAGGAGTATACTAGAGTGAACATAAGCAAACATAAGCATGTATGTAAAAGGAAAACGGCGGTACAGTTGTTAACGAATCCATATTGAAGTTTTTTATTATTTTTCGACGGTTTCGATAATTATTATTTCAACACTTTTCAAAAATTTCTAAAGTCGACTAGAGTCAAAATTAACTTAGACTTTATTAATGTCGAAATCTCGAAGTTTCGTCAACAATCTTTAGTAGTAGTTCAAAGCTTTGTCTCGACAATCAAGCACAGACCTATATATTTTAGTTACTTAAATCTGAAGTTTGACTTATATATTTATGCTAAACAGGTTGTTGCAACCAAAGTAGCCACCTTATATAAAGTAGCCACTTTAAATATATAATAAAGTAGCTACTTTAGATGCAACAGAGTATTTGGACAAGCAAAAATAATTTCAGTTAAAATTAAGCCACAACGTTACAGAATCATAACAGAATGTCATTATCTAATCATTAATTTTTTTTATAAAAGCCTTTCTGATTGATGCTTTTTTTTTCACTAAAAAAAATTTCTGATTTCTGAAGTTTTAATTATTATTTCGGCTAATATTCATATTTATTTATTATTTATAAATTCTAATCCTAATCGAAAAGAAGGTCAAAAATGAATTCCAAACTCTTATTAGTATTAGTATTAGCTCTTGTGTTTGTTTCCAGTTCAATCGCGAGACCTGGCATTGAGAGAGAAATTAAGAGAGCTATTTATAAAAGTAAATTTAATTATTTACACGAAACTTTACAAATTAATAATTTATTTTTAAATACATATTTCTCTAATTAACGTTATCCGAATCCTACTAAACTATTAGGAGGTATAATACCAAAATTTAACATTTTATCAAATATGTAGCTTATTGATATGCCTTTTTTTTAATTTTTTTTTAAAAAAATTTCTTGATTGATTTATGATTGACCATTTTTTTTACCGATTGATATGTAATATCAACTATTAGCCCGTGAGTAAATTTTAAGATATTCACCTATAAGACTGAAAGTATTATAATTATCTAATCGATTATTATATTGCCTATATGTGCCTCATTAAATAGCTCGTGAGTATAGTGATAAGTTTTATTAAAAAATTAATATCAGTATTCGCGATTAAAAAAGCTGATTTTATATATTTATATATTAAAACTATTAGCTGGTGAGTATTAGTTTTCAAACTTGTCTTAATTCTTAATTTTTTTGTACTAATTACTCGATTTTTAACTTACACATCTTAAAATTTTAATTATTAACAGCCGGTAAGTCTAATAAGACTGAAAGTATTGTAATTAATTATATTTATATTTAATCGATTATTATACTATTATATATAATTCATTAAATTAGTTGGTGAGTATTACTATGAGTCTTATAAATAGTTAATATTAGTATTCGCGACTAAAAAATCGATTTTATATATTTACATACCAAATTATTAGCTGGTGAGTATAAAGTTTTTTTTTCAAAATTCATCTTAATTCTTTGTAATTAATTCGTCAATTTTTAACTTACTCGTTATATTAAATGATTTATTATTAATAGCAAGTAAGTGTGTGAAAATTTAATACATATATATGCTCAGTAACGTGTTATGGTCTTTATTAATTATTAATGTATTCCATAAATTTGCAGCCTGTAAGTACTCGTTGTGTTCGTTTTAAAACCGACGCTTCTTTATTAAGACAAATCGATTTTTATAATTTATTTATATATTACATTAACCTATATAAGACTGTACGTATAATTTTTGCAATATTGGATTAATCAGTAGAACGAATTAGAACTTCACAGGCGGAAAATTTTTTTAGACTTTGGATTAAATACAGTAATTTAAAACAATAAACTAATCTAATATTTAAGAGTATTTTATGCACAGTGATTCTATCAACTTTTTTAGAATTATCTTAAATATTAAAATTGGTCAAATTAGTTTTAACAGTTGTTAGGTTATTTAATCCAAGAGATTTGCCTATAAAATTCTATCGCGTTTCTACTGTCATTTTTATGCAATGTTTTGCGATAAACGTTTTCTGTTTTTTTTTTACTTACTATAAATGTTCTATTAAATCCTTAGCCGGTGAGTATAAGCTTTTTATATTAGTTCTTACTAAAATAAATTAATCAACATTATTAATCGGAATTTTTTATCATAAACTTTCCAGGATGTATGTACAAATCTTCTACGTAGTATTTTTTATTTCACGTCTATGTATAAAAATTCTAAATGGACTTTTATATTTTATGCACTAGTCTGTGAGTATAATTTTAGGACAATCGCCTTAAAAATTATGTTTCCTTAATCGACTTTTTATAACTTCTATACATTCCAGGGTGTAAGTATAAGTTCATTGATATATATATATTTTTTAACTTTATACATTGTAATTAACATTGTTTAATACTTTATGATTCTATTTTAGGGTGTATGTATATGTTTTGTAGCATTCGTTTGTAAGATTATTTTTTAAGTTTTATAACGCTTATATTCCATTAAATTATTAGGTGGTGAGTAGAAAGGCTCCATAAGTTATTCTTATAATCAATATGCATAATAATCTTTGATGTATTCTATCACCTACTAGACAGTAAGTATAATTCTTTTAATACAAGTTTTTTATTATTAATGTATTTTGTGACAAACTTTTCAATCAATTTTAAATTTATAATAATTAATTTATTGAATTATTAGATGGTGAGTATAATATATAATATTCATTTTTAGAATCAATTATATTTTTGTTCATTTTTAATGATTAATATGTACAATCAACTACTAGGCGGTTGGTATAAGTTTTTTTAAATGTTTTATTCTTAATGTTTCATTAAACAACATCGTTAAATGTTTAATTTTATCAAATTAATAGTGGGTAAGTTCGAACATTTTCTATGTTCGTTTTTCAAGTACATTTTTAATGACTAAAAGTTTCCGTAATATAATTACTGCATCAAACTACCAGCTCGTTAGTATATGTTTATAATATTCGTTTTTAGTATCAATTGTTTGTTCTTTAATTAACATTATTTTTGTATTCTTAATATTAGCTGGTAAATATGAATCTAATAACGTTAATTTGTTTCATAATCAAGTACAGCTTTGTAACTTATCTTATATTCTACTCTATTAAAATTCTAGTTTGTAAGTTTTATAATATTCAAGATTAAGTATCACACTTTAACCAATTTCATGCCTTATTAAAATGTATTCTATTTTATTGAACTGTATTAGACGGTATGTATAGATAGGTTTTGCCTCTTATCCTTAAACAATTAAATGGCATTTTTTTAAACAATTCTTATTCTTTTGATTTTGTTAAATTAGGGGGTAAGTATAAATATTGGAATTTATTTTTTGAGATCAGAAGGGATTAAAATAATCAACTTACTAATCCTCTTGACGAAAATTAGCTTGTAAGTATATAGTTTTAAAATATTCACTATTTCGATCAAATAAAAATTTCTAACCGATTACTAAAATCCGTAATATTAGATGGTGAGTATATGTTTCTTTAAGATCGGCTTTTAACAGTTTGTTTGGAACTAAATCTATTGCATAAAAAAAAAATTTATTAGTTAGTAAGTACATGGATTTTTTATACCATTCGTCTTTCAATGAAAATTCCATTTCTCTAATACTTAATATTTTGTGTCTTAATAGGTCGTAAGTATACAATTAGCTTTAATTTTAAGATTGAAGTTTAATGATTCTCATTAAATAATAACCAACACTGCAATGATGAACTACTAGCTTGTAAGTATATTAATAAATAGAAACGTTGACTTTCTTATTAAACAACACTTCTAATCAACTTACGACTTTCTCTTAAATTATTAGACGGTAAGCATAATTTCATAACATTCAATGTTTGTTTGTGATTAAACTATATTTCGTTTATTTACGTAAATGTATCTATATTATTCTAATTGATTAGAACGTAAGTTTTAAACTAATTTCATACAATTCAACGCTTATGTTCATTATTAAGCTACATTGCACTTATTTACGTAAATGTATCCTATAATTTATATACATTTAATTGATCAGCTGGTAAGTTTCGAAATACCAATATTTAAGTCAAATTAATTTTATAACTGATTTGTGTTCTCCGTGTTCTTATGTATTACAGGAAGTAAGTAATAATATTGAAGAAAGTATTTCGTGATTAAACACGTTTTTTATTTATTTTTGTAACCGTACGATTTTTTATACATTATTAGCTGGTGGGTATAAGTTATATAATTTGGTATATTAGTAATCTATTTTTTTCTAATAAAATTTTACTAATATTTATACCATTGAATACATTATTGAATTTTTAGTCTGTGAGTATAAGTTCTATAATATTCCTCTTTTTATGCAAACATTACATGATCGGATACTTACCTAATTTTATGAATATAGATGGTATGCATAATTTTATGATGTTGGTTTTTAGGCATTTTTTGATTATTTGACTTATTTTTACATTTTGGTATTCTAGGATGTGAGTATGATTTTATGCATCAAAATTCAACGTTTTGTATAAATTATTTCTATACTCAAATTTACAACTTTACTCATCATTATAGGGCGTAAGCATGCATAATTTATAATATTCTTTTCTTAAGATCAATATTCATTTTATGACTTCATCTATTCTTCTATTATTAGATTGTGAGTATAAGTTTTTTTTTTTTTTTGATAAGCTTAATTGATGGACAAATCTCATCGATGTCATGAGCACATAAAATAATTGGGCATGCATTAGCATATACAAGCTAGATTGCTCGAATTATAAAAAAAACTTTTGTGCATATGTCCATCACTATGTACAATAATGGTTATTTCATCAGTTTCTATAATTTTTACGATTTATATTTATATATTATTCTATTAAATTAGGCCGTAAGTAATAATAATAATGAAAGAATCGTTTTTTTTTGAGTTCAACATTTGAGATTCACATTTAATATGTTATATCAAACAATTAGTCGATGGTAAGTGTTACAATATCCTTTTTAAAATTATTAAAATTGATGCTTCATTAATAGACTGACAAACTCTTATATAACTATCAGATTAATGTAAGTTTTTCATGCTTCGTTTATGTTTTTATAATTAAACCGTGAGGCCTTTTATAACTTCATAACATTTTAATAAATTAGCCTGTAAGTATAACTTTATTAATTTTTCAATATTGATATTTTATTCACCTTTTTATAACGTAAACATTGTGTGTTGAATTGTTAAAATAGAAACTATGACAGTAAGAGTAATACATATTTTGCTGAAAATGGTTATTTTATTTATTTTTAACATTATTTTAAAGAAAAGTAGGTCTCCTGAATCTGCGACAAGAAGGCGTTTTCCATTATTTTATTATGTAGTTTCTTACGACCTAAAGATTTTAGGCTTTTGATTTTTGTTAATTTATTAGTTTTTTTTTAATTGAGATTTAAAATTTTTTGGACCTTTTTACAAATTCTAAAAAAATAGATATTGTACAAATTTTCTGATCTTGTACTGTTTTAAATAATTCAGAGATCATAAAGAAAAAATAGCTGAATAGCTTATCTGTTGTGTCATATTACGTCTTTAATCGTGAGAGCTCAATGTCTACTCTAACTGAAATCAATATAGGAGTGATCGATAATTGAATCACTTATAACGTCCGATTGGACTGACAGAAAAAAAAGCCGATCAACATTCAAGTTTAAAATTCTGCGCTGCAAAACGAAAATTAACTTTGTATGTTATAATCACCAACAAAAATTTTATCATCGTCAAAAACATGATCCAATGTTAATAAAGTACATTGTTGCATTATAAGTTACCGACGTTTTAACTCTTGTAGTAGTCGATAACAGTGTATATACGAAATGATAGGAAATATATTTTATTTTAATAATACATGGCTAAATTATTTATATTTATTTATACCTTAAACATTAAACAATCAGCCACTAACAGATGGCTGGGTACAAACTATAGGCTTAAAAGTCTTGGTTGTTTTATTTATGATAATATTATATAAGTCAAAAAATGATTTGAAAAAATAATTGGCGCAAGATGCGAAGTCTACAAGCACTATATATTTATAGTACTAAAGTATTGGTACAAGCTTAAGAATATTGGTACTCAAAAATATAAAAAATCACATATATATTATAATTTCATTTATTAGCTTATGATCTTATTTAAAAAGCAAAGAATTTATTAGTTACATGAATATCCTTTGTAGTTCCAATTCGGGTATCTGTTTGCAAAACATTACCGCTATAATACATTGATCATTCAAGTCAGTATTATGCAAGCTGACTAAAATTATGTCAGCTGAGTTGAAAAATTACATTGCATAGTATCAAACATTCTGCGCAGTGGCCCATCCATAGTCATGCCCCGTAATCAACTATCGGGTCCTTAGAAATTTAGAAATTTTTTTTTTTTTATTTCACATTTTGTTGAACCTCCCAAAGTCGATCCCGTCAAAACAAATAACTTTTCAAATCTATCAAGTCTGCTTCTGCTACATAATTCTAATAAATTTTATGTAATATTTAAAATCTGATAACCTCTCAATACTGATAAAAAACCAGTCCACCATATGTATCGGTTTTGGGAGATTCAAGAATATTTAAAAACAGTCAAAAAAAAAATGCTTCGACAAAAAAAATTCATATATGCATGGGAGTGTGAGTACGACTATTAACTAGCATATATAGTAGATAGAAAAAAAATTAATCTAGCTATAATTTTGATCTAATAAAATGTCCAATTCACTTTGAGCTTCTTCACATCCATGATTGAATGCTTTCCGATACCAACGGATTGCCTTATCCAGATTTCTGGTGTGACCGATACCATCTCTATAATGCCGTGCTAGATCATTCATTCCACGTACATTTCCTCCTTCAGCAGAGGTACGGTAGCATTCGTAAGCCTTAATCAAACATCGATCAGTTCCTTTACCGTATTCGTAGCACCGGCCAAGTCCATGATATCCACAAGCACTCTCTTGCTTTGCACATTTACTAAACCAATTGAATGCCAAGTTTTCCTCTTTATGGGTTCCAATACCGTAGAAATAACAGTGACCAATGAATTCTTGAGCAACTAAGTAATCTCTTTTTGCAGCAGTAAGGAATAAAGTGAAAGCACGTTTCTCATCTTTCTCACAACCAATTCCTACTAGTAAGAGGAAACCGAGCAAAGTTCCATATGATAGAGTGTTTTGGTTATCAGATAACCAGCAATAAATGCTACTAGGTTGTTCGCGATTATTGTATATTAGCGAGACAAGACTTTCTTCTATTTTTTCATTAGTTGTACATTGTAATCGGAGTTGAGATAAAGAATCTATTAAATTATCAACAACATTACGAATTGGATCCTCTTTTTCAGGATGATAACGAGGTGATGGACTTAAATTTCTTGCAGTATAAGGTCGAGGGCTTACTGAACGTGACCGTGAGCCATAAGATGATGTTAGATTTGAAGGAGATGCTATTGGCGCTAAGGTATTTCTTTCGTACATTATTAAAATTAAAATATACAATCAACTCTGTTTATTCCGGAAAAATGTTTTTATGAGTTTTATATGTGAAAATTTCTAAACCGTCAGGTTTCAAAGTTGATTATATCTCTAATCCAAACTTGTTAATAAATCTACAAGTGCTTTAAAGTTTAATGTTTAGCTTTTACAGAGGTTATTAAGAGTGTAGTTTAGATATATTTGACTGTATTACTGTATTTTGAACTTGTGTTTTGTTCTAATTAGTGATGAGTCGAAATTCTATAAGCGATATAGTTAAAAAATTCCCTTATTTATATTTTTTTCCTAAAAAATTTTTCTAGATTGATGACAAATTATTGGAAGATACGTGCGCAAAAAAAAAAAAAAAGATCTGGTTTCTAGAAATGGCTTAGCTGCATGGAAAAACAAAAGTTTCCTACATTTTTGCTTGACAAAGAACACATTCCTTATATGTTTCTGATATTACGTGTAAAAACTAACATATAGAACTGTATATCACATCTAAATTCCGAAACTCCATATGCATTAGCTACTATTTATCATCATCAATGAGTATATAGAATTACAATTTATCACTTATTTAGAAACAATTACGTATTGTAAGCTTTAAACCTGCGCATAAAAGACAAAATAAGACTTAATGGCAGTGCCAAAATATCAATTTTCGGAGATTTCATTCTAAATTTCCGGATTATCTTATGCTAATTTAGTAATAGTAGTAACGATAACGGTAATTGGTTATAGTTTGCACAAAAGGTAGATCAAATGGTGCATTACAATAATATCTGAGATTTTAAAAGATCTAATTTTTGATGCAATTATAGAATTTTCATGTTTTAGGAAATGCATCAAATGGATTGACCAACTTAGAAAATAGGATTGACCCGGCTTGTATATTTAGTTATATATTAAACCAATTAATAAATATAGTTAAAATGAGCCCCCAATAGGAAGATTTTCGATATTCGTATTATTGGTCAATACTGTAATATACCGTTGTTATACATAGTTTTTATTGAGTACTGCCAAAGAAAAACCCGTAGATCTAAAAACGAATTATTAAAAATTCATAATAATCTATTTTTAGGTATACAAGTTTCCTTTGGCAACATTCATTTGATTTTACATTCTTTAAATAGCAATCATATGAGCTTTAAGTATGTTAGTGACCTATTTTATCGAATTGTGAAGCTCTAAAATTGCAATATTATGTAAGCTTTAAAAATTCAATTTAAAATTCTATTCTGATACATTTATCATTCACTAATCCATTGTTGGAAAGATGTATAAATAATTTTATCCTTCGGCCTTTGCATTATATCGCAAAAAGGAATTAATGTATGTAGATTAATGCTCCTTTAAATTTTTTTTTGAATGAGTTTTATAAAATTTACCATACTAGTAAAAGATTACCTATTGAAATTAGGGATTGGAAAATCATGATCATATAAACTTTATGGTATCAACTGATATAGCCAACAGCCGTTTCACCATTTTTCTTACGATAGACAGTTATAAAATCTAGCATTATGGATCGAAATTAACAAGAAATCGAAATAGAACTTCTGGAATTTTCGGAGTAAAGGCGAACGAATCATAATTTTTTTTTAAACTTCACGCACAGCCTGCAAAGTATCTTATAATTTTTTTGCAAACATTTCGGAATTTTATGGAACAAGATGTTATCTCATTCATGCTTGTAATTTAAGTTCGTCTATTTTTTAAGTCATTTAGCATCACAATAATAATTTAGTAAATTATGCTATTGGTCAGAAATATAAAAAATTTCTTGCGCAGTGTACAAAAAATATTGAGAGTGGCTACTAACACCGCAGCCAAAGCGCAGGTAGGCTTGAATCTACTATATTGGGAAATTTAATTGTCACCTTCTGGGCTCTGAAGGTACCCAGAAATGACACATATTAAATTAGCTATCAGATAAACAAGTATTTGCTGCGTAGCATTCAATAACGGTATTATCCGGATAGTTACAACGACCGAACCAACAGAATGACTCTTTATTTTGATGATGATTGCGCACTCCTTCAAAATGTGCTAAGTTTGTGGCGCAGATTGACTGAACTACGAATAGAAAAATTCAAAACAAACGTCCATTTTGTCAAAGACCACTTACTGGTTGACTCGAATTTCCGCAGTAAAACTTCTATGCATTAGGATTAATATTAACTTATTTACTATATATTTACTAGGTAATATATGTATTTTAACATATTTTTAGTTAATATGCTTAAATACATAAATTACCCAGTAAATATATAGTAAATAAGTTAATATTTGTACTATATATTATTGGTTATTAATTAGTTAAAATATATATATATTTTTTTACCATTAAAATATAATTTTTTTTACCAGTGGTACTTGTTATGTTACTATCATCAGATGATAATGAGATTTATCAGCTGCAATTTAACTGATAATACGGATATCCAATGCTTCTGACGTAAGTACAGACCTTTTTCATATTTATGAGCACTTTCTAATTACGTTCACGCTTCGCCCACTATTACCCAAATACTTTTTTTATTGGAACAAATTCGGGTAAAGAATTTTAAATACCTTTCACACACCTATTGATTCTTATTAATTCGGAATATTTGGTTTATTATAACTTTGCGTGCTTAGAATATGAAGTAATGAAAATTTATGTATCAAGTAAATTTGTGTATCATTAAATATTAAGTAAACGAAAATTTGGTCATTAGTAATTAGAAAGTTACGAATAATGTATATGAAAAACGTCAGTTGATTGCATAGGAAGTGTCGGATAAGAATAGGTGACAATCTTGTTCAGCTTACCTTTATTATATTTACACATGAAGCTAATTTTAGTTTATAATCAATATGTGTACATTTATTATTTGTAGCAGTTTGATGTTAAAAAATATCAACATTTTATTTAATTTTAGTTTATGCTTCTATAATCATTATTAATGTTAATACATACCATAAACTTTAATATCGATAGGTAATAAACAATTCTATTTTAATTGATTACAATATATGTGAGATTAGATGTGTAAAATTAACGGTCTCACCTCGAATAAATGGTACGTAAGTACTCATACAAAATCGGTTTACTACTCACCCAGAAAAAGGCCTCAAAGAATTTTAGCTCATGGAAAGTTTAGAATTAACAACTCCGTTCAATGATGTTGTTTTACCGACTGCATAGGATATTGAAATAATTCACCATCTATTAACATGGATTCAAATGGAATGAAAGTGAATTATAATGGTAAGATAAAGATGAAGAAAGGGAATCTTGCAAAAAAAACCAAATCGAATTAATAGCTTGATTTAAGAAGTTTATCGTTGTAGCTTGAATGAAGAATAATAACTGATAATTTTATTAAAAAAAAAAACAACTTTTTTAAAGATCCTGATGATAATAAAGGTGATATAATTCGAGCAAATCATCCAATTCCTCACAATGTGGAATATTTTATTTTGAGATTAAAATTTTAAATAGAGGAAAGAATGAGTATTATAACTATTTCCTGTCATAAACGGTAAATTTGTCAAAAGGTTTAATCGTTTTTAGCTTATTTAAAATTTGACCTTATCTATATGTCCATTTCAATTTACAGCAATGACTAATGAAGACATGCATTAGAATTAGAATATCATGATAAGATTTATTATATTATGGGAGGATACGAAAACATGTTGGTTAATTTAACAGGCGAATTAACAAAATCATTAGAAAAAAAGCAAACCAATGTATTCGAATTAAACTATCGAGGAAAGTTATTTTTTATTATGGATGAATATGATAAAGCATTGGAAGATTTGACTAGGTCGCTAGAAATTGAACAAGATAATATAATAGCACTCAAATAACGAGGAGAAATTAATTATATAATGAAAAGGTATGACAAATCAATTGCTGTCTTGGAGAAATTATTAAAAATTAAACAAAAAGATACATAGGCAACGGAGGCTTATAAATTAGTCTATGAATTGTAAGTATGATATGTATGCTAAATTTGGTTTCTTAAAGGTTAAAGTTAAATCAATAACTCAATCGCATATGTCAACGCAATAGTCGGCAAGTTTTTTAAATGAATTTTTTATAGTCAATTACGACAATGACATTACAAGCTAATATAGCTTTAACTACATACTGTGTGTCATCGAAATAGTGAGTAAGTTTTTTAAATGAATTTTTTACAGTAAATTACCATAAACATCAACGAGAATGCCAATACAAACTAACTACATATTGTATGTCACCGCAATAGTTTGTAAGGATTTTTAAATAAGTTTTTTTACAATAAATTATGATAGACATCCACGATAATGCTAATAATAACTAATATAACTTTAACTCATACTGTGTGCCACCACAATAGGGAGTAAGCTTTTTAAATGAATTTTTACATAACTTTAACTACATACTTTGTGTCACCGAAATAGCGAGTAAGTTTTTTAATGAATTTTTACAGTAAATTATGATAGAAATCAATGACAATGCTAATACAAACTTACATAACTTTAACTACATACTATGTGCCACGGCAATAGCTGGTAAGTTTTTAAATAAATTTTTTACAGTAAATTACAATAGATATACAGATAATCAATACAAGCTAATATAACTTTAACTACATACTTTGTGTCACCGAAATAGCGAGTAAGTTTTTTAATGAATTTTTTACAGTAAATTATGATAGAAATCAATGACAATGCTAATACAAACTTACATAACTTTAACTACATACTATGTGCCACGGCAATAGCTGGTAAGTTTTTAAATAAATTTTTTACAGTAAATTACAATAGATATACAGATAATCAATACAAGCTAATATAACTTTAACTACATACTTTGTGTCACCGAAATAGCGAGTAAGCTTTTAAATGAATTTTTTACAGTAAATTATGATAGAAATCAATGACAATGCCAATATAAACTAACATAACTTTAACTACATACTGTGTGTCACCGCAATAGCCGGTAAGTTTTTTAAATGAATTTTTTACAATAAATTACACAATAGACATCAATGATAATGCTAATACAAACTAACATAATTTTAACTAAATATTGTGTGTCACCGAAATAGTCTAAGTTTTTTAAATAAATTTTTTACAATAAATTACGATAGAAATCAACTATAATGCAAATACAAACTAACAAAACTTTAACTACATGCTGTGTGCCACCGCAATAGCGAGTAAGTTTTTAAATGAATCTTTACAGTAAGACCGTTCGAAGTTGGTTCTTCGGTTGACATCACTCCCCAGATGAAGTCTCACCCCGAAAAATGAACAACCAATGAATACGCTGGATAACTCTCACCAATCACATGATTTAAATCGACCAATCAAATTGACTCATATTTCATTTTATATGTTTCGTTTCATTTTATCCCCCCAAGAGTGATGTTAACCGAAAATTTAACTTCAAACGGCCTAAATTACGATGGACATCAACGACAATCCCAATACAAGCTAACATAACTTTAACTACATACTGTGCGTCACTGCAATAACGAGTAAGTTCTGTAACTAAAATTTTTTATATTAAATGATAATTTCAATAATAATATTAATAATAAAATTGCCTCTAATTATATGTTAATCCATGCTAGACGGTATATATTTGTTAATATTAAATTGCAGCTCTTAATACATTATTATATTTATTGGACAAGTGGCAATAACATTTTGATGAATTTATTAAACGAATTCAACTTAATGGAAATATATTTAAAGACATTATCGAATGGGTACCTTTTAATAAATTTACAAATATCAATTACCTGGCTAAAGGAGGGCTTGGCACGGTTTTTAAGGCAGTTTGGACTGACGGTTATACTAAGGGATTTGATGATGAAATGAATGAATGGATACGAGTGTCGCAAATAAATGTTTGTTTAAAAAGCTTTGATAATTCTAAAGATATAAAACAAGAATTTTTGAAAGAAGTATGCGCCATAAAATTTATTATTATTATCGTTATTATTTTTAAGTTTAATTATTCTAATTATTATTTTAGGTTGATAATCAGCATATACATGGGGGCAGTTCAGCAGTTGAAATTTATGGCATAACTAAGAATCCAAATGATCATAATTATATGATAATTATGGAATATGCAAAACAAGGGGTCTCCGAAAATTATTAGATAGCAAATATAAAGACTTAAAATGGCATGATAAAATAACTATTTTACTGTATCTTATATAGATAATGGGCTTAATACAATCCACGAAGCTAAATTAATGCATAAAGATTTTCATTCCGGAAATATAGTCAACAAAACTATGATTAATTCTTATATACTGATTTTGGCTTATGCAAGCCAGTTTCACAACAATCAAGCTCTGAAGGAATTTTTGGCTTGCTTCCATATATTGCTCCGGAGGTGTTGAATGGAGAAGGATATACTCAAAAATCAGATATTTATTCTTTTGGAATAATCATGTCAGAAGTTTTTACTGGGTATCCTCCATATCATGAAATTCCACATGATGAAGATCTAGCAATTAATATTTGTCT